GTTTGGGTAGATAAGTCCCTCGCAGGACTTCAAAAGTTGTCGGCTTTTGAAGTTACTGTGGGGATTAAGTTTATTTGCAAAAACATGCTTACTTCTGTAAGAAAATGTATGGAAACAGAAAACTCATTCCCAGAGGCTTGGGGGGTAGTTACTTCTTAGCAGCAGGGCACCCTGTGGGGTTTTCTATCCCACATCGGATTAGGGAGGTTGGGTGTTTGGGTAGATAAGTCCCTCGCAGGACTTCAAAAGTTGCCGGCTTTTAAAGTTACTGTGGGGATTAGGTTTATTTGCAAAAACATGCTTACTTCTGTAAGAAAATGTATGGAAACAGAAAACTCATTCCCAGGGGCTTGGGGGTAGTTACTTCTTAGCAGCAGGGCATCCTGTGGAATTTTCTATCCCACATCGGATTGGGGGGGTTGGGTGTTTGGGTAGATAAGTCCCTCGCAGGACTTCAAAAGTTGCCGGCTTTTGAAGTTACTGTGGGGATTAGGTTTATTTGCAAAAACATGCTTACTTCTGTAAGAAAATGTATGGAAACATAAGACATTTTTCCGTTGGTGGCGGCGGGTAAGGTCAGGAATCGCAAGGACGGATGAGCACCTTTCCATTTTTACTATTTTTTTCCCCATTTTGGGAAAGAAGAACTAACATGGAGCCTGGAGCATAACGGTGGCCGCAGCCTCGGTACTCCAGTTACCAACCCTTTTTTTTTCGACAGTAATGGGGACGAAAATGTTGGGGTCCAATGTTTAATGGGGCGTGATTAGTCGAAGTGGCCATTGGTAACTTTTCGCCCACCATCATTGCTCCTCTGCATCATTTTTCAGTGACCCTGATTCCACAACCGGCTGGTAGACACTAGATGACGACCACCGCAGTAGTTTCGATGGTTCACGGTGTATTAGCTTCTCCATTTGCCAAACTATCAATTTTTAAAGGTGAAATAAAATATCGGCGCTGTTTGGTAAGTGAATTTTTTGGGTGTTTATTTAAAATTCTACTGTAACTTACTGTAAAAGTTTTTAAAAAAATTTTTGAAGTGTGTTTTTTTAAATATTTTGAAATGTATAGTTTAAAAACTTTAAAAAATTTTTAAAAATTACTGTAACTAAAGTTTTTTAAAAACTTGTAGCAAATAAATTAGGCAAAAAATTTGTCTGTCAAACAAGGCCATCATTTTATTCTCTTTCTGGGACAAGAGATTTGTTGCTTTGGGAGGGGATTCGGGTCTATTTGTTTCACACGCACATACATATATATCTATATATATTATACTGACGAGATGTTCATCAATGGATTACAATTGTTTGGTTACTTAAAGTTCAATTAATATTTGGTTAGTTTAAGAAAATCTTTTATTTAGCATCAAACTATACTTGACCTCAATTAGTTCAACAAGCCATTTTCTTTTGTGACTTTAAATATTGGATTCACCCAATACCCGAAGTTCACATACCCATTAAACCCCAAAAAAAATTTTTTTTTTTTGCTGATGTATATTGGGCACAGTTTACACATTAAGCTAGTACTACTCCTGGTATTCGGTTAGTTTAGTTATTGACAGATACAGCATAATGATTTAGTGTTAAAATTTTCATTAGGCTGATTAGGCTGTTATTCAGTTATCGGATTTTAGAAAGTAATTTATTTTAAAATTTTCATAATATTTGATAATGAACTTGAGACATTTGTTCTCAAACGTTAACCTTGGGATCAGCCAGACGGTGAACACCCCCAACCCGTTGACTCAAGACAATAATAGCGGGGCCGGGGGGGGGGGGGTTGTTCTGCGATGGGTTGACAAAAAACCAATGCGTTGCTGATTGAGATTCATAAATCACAAAGGTGTTTGCGTCTTCATTACTTCATTTACAGCTCCTGCTCCGAGCCATGCATGAGTTGACCTATTGCACTCGTCCTTTTAGTTTGAAATGGTAGAAAAAGGTGCATTATTTTTTTTTTATGGTACGAAGGGGTGTCCCGGAATCACCGAACTAATCCCCGGGCAGAACTTGCCCCAAAGATGCCCCTTGTATGGTTTTTCCATTTTTGTAGCAAAGGAAAAAGGCCATTGGCTATATTTACTTGCCTGGGATATCTATTAGTAAGCCAGTATTTAGTTTAGATTAGATCTTTTTTCGAAAATTTCCCCACAACAACTCCTTTGTTTTTTCAATCAACGGCCAAGGTAGACTGCTAGAGCAGTAGATTGACGGAGTGCAACTAATAAGGAAAATATTTGTAAAACTTTTTTGAGTTTTATTGAAATTGTTTTTAACAAAACTGGCTTTATATTCTGATAAAACATATGTTGAAAATTTAAAAAATAGTAATTTAGTAGTAATTTGTAACCACAATTGATAGTTGCCAATGAAAATTAAGATTTATTAAATAAATTAAAATTAGAATAAGAAAAAATACATGTTACTCGATAGAAAATTATATTGATTGTGGGCAACTACAAATGATAGTTTATGAAGTATATATAAAGTGATACATTTTTATTTATACCAAAAGCCCCCTCTTCCTTTATACATACATACATATATATATGTATATAATAGTATAGATAAGCAGCATCATAAATTATACTTTAGTAGCTTTGAACCGAGCAAAACATCCATAGGAAACCATGCACCAACATTTGCTAGATAATTAGTGACACAAACAAACCCGCAAGGCCCTGCCATGCTGAGGAAGAGCTAGGTTGCTTGGAGGCCCCACAAGACGAGCAGCCAATTCATAAAATAATTTGATTATTATATCCTACGTTCCTACTCAATAGCATGCTCAAATGAGAGAATGATTTCTTAAGTAAAATAAAATAAGCAAATTCCTTGCTAATTGCCACTATAATAATTTCAAGTGCTGATATATTTTTGGTATTTTGCGTGTAGGCGAGGGGACGGGGTAAAAATGTCAAGTAGCTTTTCTGGTTCTACTTCTACTAATTGTTGGATCCATCTCAAGTTTAAAAATTTTGGCCTTTTTTTTTTGGTAAGCGCACTCCTAAATGGGGCTGTAAACGAGCCGAGTCGAGTTATGGATTTATTGAGTCGAGCTCGACTTAATAACAGGTAGACTGGAGCTCGACGTGCCAAGAAAATTGAGTTCAAGTTCTACTCGACTAAGAAAAAGTCAAGTTCGAACTCGAGTCGATAAGGCTCGTGAGTTATAGCTCGATTTCTGACTCGCAAGCAGCTCGAATTGTCAACTCGTAATGTAGCTCGAATTTTTGACTCGTGAGTAGCTCGTTAGCTCGAGTTTATGAAATTATTTAAATAAAAACAACAAATAATTATTTTTTCTTAATAAATAATAAAATATTAGAAATATATGTGTAATTTTACTATTAAAAATAAAATAAAATAAAAAAATATATATATACTAGACCTCACGAGCTAACGAACTTAATATTTTAAACTCGAGTTCGAGCTTAAATTCAATTTGGCCAGCTCGAGCTCGAGTCGAGTTTGATATTGATCGAACTCGACTCGAGTTTTGACTCGCGGCGATTCGGTTCATTTGCAGCCCTATTCCTGAACACTAAAAGGGGCGACGGTGAAACTCTGGATGATGCTCGATCGGGTGTATGTGTATCCCATTTAAGCAATTCGGCGTGGCGGTGCTTATGACGTTCCGTTTTAGCTTCCTTCCATGTGTTTTTACGAATTATTTTTTTGGAAAAAAAAAAGAGAAAGATTGAGTTGCGCTATAATTCTCTCTTCCAACCAAAGATTGAGTTGGGCTCAGTCCCTGCGGGCCGGTACCCAAGCGTACATGAAGAAATGGAGTTAATTTGCAAAACATTTTGAAGAAGCGCGACTAAAACGCGATTGTAGGGCCTGTTTGGAACCTGAGTTTTTTGGGAGTTTGTCTAAAACTTTACTGTAGTGCACTGTAGAAGTTTTTAAAAAATTTTTGTATAAGTTTTTATAAGGTAAAAAATTTTTTTATAAAAGTTTTTGTAATGTGAAAAATTTTGTAGAAGTTTTGGTAGGGTGAATTTTTTGTTCCTTTTCTTTTTCTTTCTTTTTCTCTTTCTCTTTCTTTTTCTTTTTCTTTCTTTCATTTTTCTTCTTCTTCTTCTTCTTCCCCTTACCCGTTACCTCTGCCTCCCACCTCCGCTCCTCTGCTAGCACCACCTCTCTTTTTCTTTTTTTTTTTCTTTTCTCCTCTCCCCCCCTCCCTCTCCCTCCCCCCCCCCCCCCTCCCTCCCCCCTCTCCCTCCGCCCCCCCCCTCTTCCCGCCACCCCTCCCTCCTCCCCCGCCACCCCCCCCATCCCTTTCCTCCCCTCTCCTCTCCCTCGCACCCTCTCCCGCCCCCCCTCAGCCCCTTCCCCCTCAGCCCTGCAACTCTTCTCCCTCGCCACCCCCTCAGCCCCTTCCCCCTCTGCCCCCGCCACTCCTCTCCCCCCGGACGACTGTGCCTGCAGTTAGGATGAAGATAAAGCACGAGGCGCGGATGGAGCTATCAAATGGGGTGAAATTGGAAGGGGCGACGTTGGTTGTTGTGAGGCCCATAAATGCTAGTGGATGTGGTGGTCGCGAAGGAGGGAGTGAGACGGAGGAGCAAAGCGGGGATGTGGGATTGGCGATGGGGGCGTTCAGAGGCGATGGAGTTTATGGGGAGGCTGTTGAGAGGTTGCTCAAATGCAGGTGGTGGGTTCGGTGGGGAGGAAGAAGAAAGAAGGAGAAGGGATTTTTTTTTTTTTTTTTTGTGTTTTGGATATTTTAAGTGTGTAGATAAAAAACTTTGAGAAGTTTTTTGGGGTTCCTGTAGCAAAAGTTGTTAAAAAACTAGTAGGTAAAAAACTTAGGCAAAAAACTAGCTTCCAAACAGGCCCGTAGTTTGCAGATATAGATATAGGTACGTATGAATGGTGGAATGAACGACGGTAGGGGCGAACAAGTTCCAATTAATGATACTTAAACATACGATTGATCGGATTCGTTTATTTTCCGACACTAAGGCGGGGGAAAAGAAAAAGAATAAAGAATAGCGAAAATTTAATGAGGGCTGGGGGGGCCCAACGGTAGATGCGGCAGAGTGGGCAAGGAGTGTTGTAACACGTGGAAGTCAAAGAGCAGCGGGGTCCGTAAAACTTGGCAGGGCAGCAGTGGTAACTGGTAAGTGGATGGATGTGTGGGCGTACGTTCGTACCAGCGAGTAGTTGGCAAAGCTAACATCTACTTCACCATCGGCCATCGGCCATCAGCCACCAGCAGCAGCAGCAGCAGCAGCAGCAGGAGGATGATGATGACAAGAACACTTTTTTCTCATTCTCATCTCAAATTCAATAAGTGAGGGGAGGCTGAGGCCCAGGCACAGGCCGCGGCCGCGGGAGGGAGTAACCAATGACCATGCCACCTGCCACCACTGCACTCGCAACGCGCACAACCACCATCAACACTCAAGAGAGTAAACAGTAAAGACTGCTCCTCCCTTTCTAGTACTTTCTACTTCACCAGGGCCTTGGCGCATCCTGGCAATAATTGCATCTATCCCTATACTATATATATGCCTTCGGAATTTGTTTTTATTCAACACCTATTAATAACCTCCTTACACGTGTCGCCCCCGTCCGAATCCATGCCTGGCTCCAACCCCAGCTGACATGCGACCACCCCACTTCTGTTCTGCATCACACATTTACATATACCATAGTACCATGCCCCGGATATACCTCTGCAACTGCGTATGTATTTGTTGTTAATGTTACTACTGTTAATAATCTTTTTTTTTTTTTGTATCTTTTCTTTCGGTACCATAGACGACGGACGGGTTATTGAATTCATTCCAAGTCTTGTATCCTTGTTTTTTTCGTTCTGCATCAAAAAACAAAAAAACCTTTTTTTTTTCTTTTCTTGTTGGGTTTATTTCTTAAGGTGGCTGCAACAAATTAGACTATCTTGTAATCCCAGTTTATCCCTCCCCTCCCCCTCCCAAAAAAAAAAAAAAAAAAAATGTACTCCAGAAATCACAAGTGATCAAATTAAGTGACCAGTAGTCCTTTCCAAGAGGGTATGTGTCGTCGACGGACTAGCTCCATGAGAATTGCTTTTTCAAGTCGGTACTAGCTGTTTCAGATTAAAAAAACGATGATGTATGAGCATGTATATATACATACATATATATATATACATACACACACATACGCTGCACTGTTCACGTTTTACTTATTTTTACTTGGATATTAATTGAATCTGATTCCCGCAAAATGATACTCTAGTACAAGTGAGTGTGCAAGATGCTTTAACTAGAGCTGGCAATTTGTCCCAAGTCCCAATGGGCTACCCATGCCCAAAGGAACTTTGGGCGGGATGGGTATTATAATTTGGTATTGGGTTTAAGTTGGGACACATCCCAACTATACCCATTAATGAATGGGAAAGGATGGGAAATACTTGGGTACCCATTGGGCTCAAATGGCAAGGGCTCCGTTTGGATTAGCTGTTTTTGGTAGGTGTTTTTGAAATATTTTATTGTAGCAGTGTATATGAAAAATTTTTACTATAAATTTTTTTTGAAATATTTGATATATTAATATGGATGGGATGTTTCTTGAGTTATTGTATATTACTGTAACATTGTATTTGAAAAACTTATTTTTTGAAAAAAAAGTCAATCCAAACGGAATCTTAGATTCAAAAATTATCTTTAACAATTTTTATAGTCATACCAGCGAATATAATCTAGTAGTCTTCCTAGTCATTATCCACAAGAATTTCCAGCATTTCAATTAGTTTAGACCTGTCATCCTTGGACAATGATAAGGATAAATATTCAACATCCTAAGGACCTTGGTCATCTTGATATATGTTGGAATATGGCTGTATATCTATCTTTTCCTTTATTTGTTAATCCAATTTTTTGTGGGAATCTTGAGTATAAAGCACTTGCATGTTTATTTAATAAAACTAAAAGAAATTTAATAAATCAAAAATATTAAAATTATATAAAAATAAAAAATGAATTAAAGGAAAAAATATATGTAGAAAATGGATTTGGGTATTGGGCGGGATCAATCTAAACCCATCCCAAAATGATCCCGCCCAAGTTAGTCCCAAAACACATATGGGTAAGGTTGGGCCCAAACCCATATGACTCGGTTCCATCTCAAATCCAAGCAAATCCCGCCCATCCCGCCCATTTTGCCACCTCTAGCTTTAACTAATGATCAAATGACGAAACACATGTAAAAATACAAATAGTACAAAAAAAAAAAAGTAGTAATTTAACAGAGGGTCGAGATGAGTTCAACCATTTGACTTGTCCTTTCAATGATGGCTTGGAGTTTGAGCCGGTCTAAGTATTCCTGAGCCATGTCTCTGCTGCATATGCTTTGTGAACTTGATTGTAAAATCTTCACTCTCATTGTACCCACGTATTTTGCTTGTTGGGAAGGCCAATGTGCCAATATATAACTGTAGATTGACGCTCCAAATTAACGCCTCATTCATGGGTTCTACTGAAAAGAAAAGAAAAGAAAATTTTTATTTCAATGGTCTGTTCTGTTGTTATGAAGTTGACTTTCCTCTTTGACTTTTTATTTGCAGCTTGAATGGACAATTATGTGGTTTCTTAAGACCGTGCGGTGGGTGCTAATTTAAACTACTACTAATTTGGACGCTGTGAAAAAAAAAAAGAAAAAGAAAGATTACCTAAAAGCGCTGCTATAAAACACAATAAAAGAATATATACATATATATTTTTGTCTACTCAAGGGGTATCCAGGTTTCAGGTATGCCGGATCCGACTAATTTTTCTGAGATCCGAGAGGAGAGACCCCATCCCCTCGAATCGATAATCACTGGAACTCGATCCCCGATGGGGGAGAATGGACAACGGTGCCTAAGAAGGCTCCCGTGACCAACTAAGCTGCCCAGAGAGGCACAATAAAAGAATATAACCTGGTTCCATATCCATATTAAGTTAGAATCACGGAGATGAATGGTGAAAGCAAAGACAGAGAGAGGGTAGGGCTTGGGTGCGCAACGTCAGGTGCATACATTATTAACATATCTAGTCTATGCGGGAATGGGGAGCTTTTCAATCGAGTTCTGATTGCTGACGTGGCGCCCTGCTATTGGCTGATTGGTGGTCGTCCGCCTGTGCGAATTCCAATTGATGGTCGTCCGTTTCCCACGCGTGAATTCTTTTGTTTGCTTGCTCAAGTGTTTAGCAATCCTTTTGCTTCTTTGTTTGTTGTTTGCCTGCTATTGGCTGATTGTTGGTGGTCGTCCGGGGCGTGCCAATTTCCAATTGAATTCTTTTGTTCAGACGTTTACAATCCTTTTGTTTTTCTTTATTTGTTGTTTGCCAGGAAGTGTTCTGATTTATTGTTCATTAATATTGTTTGCCAGGAAGTGTTCTAATAAAACCTAATTTACAATTCTTTTGTTTTTTTATTGGATTGGAAATGCTTGTTAACCTATTACATGTGGGATTGTGCTAAAATTTGGCCCCCTTTTTCCCTTTCCCAACAATAAATTGTGTTAACAAAAAAATTGGTATCTCAAATATTTACAATTATCGGTGCTTTCTTTTGGTTGCCGAATAAATCGCAATTATTAATTATTATCTTTTATTGTACTTATAGCTTTAACTGTATTAATTATTATTAATTATTAATTCATTGTTAGTAGCTAATTAATAATGTCGCTTTTTATTGGGATTTTTTTGTTACCCAACAAATCACGTTTAATTCATAACTTTTTTGCAATTATTAACCAAAAAAACCTTTTTTTTGTTGCCCAAAAAAATCTCATTTAATTACTTTTTTCCCAACTTTTTTTAAGGAAATGTCCTCTTTTATTTTTTAGGTTGCCCAACAAATGAGGTTTACTCATCAGCTTTTTTTCGATTCATTTTTTATTAATTAAGCTCTGGTTTTGATGTTTAATTGCCAGACAAATAGCATTTAATTGCTGACTTTTATAATTATTATTATGTTTTTGTTGCCTAGCAAATCGCATTCAATTACCAGTTGTATGTAGTTATTACCCAAAAATTAGTCTCTTTTTTTTGGAAGTGAATTGTCACTTTTTATTGCCTAGCAAATAACATTTAATTACCAGCTTTTTGTAATTATTAACACTTTTTTTTGGTTGCCAAATAAATCCCAATTATTTATCACTTTTTTTGCGGTTAATTGTTAATCTACTTACTTATTACCTTTGGAAGTCTTTTATATTGAAGAACTTTTTACCTTTGGAACTTTTTTTGGCATATGGTTTGAGGATTTATGGGTTTTTTTCCCTTTCACCTTTTGATCAATCAAACGGCATCGTATGCTGATGGATCTTCAATCCTTTTTCTTCCGCTTTTCTCTCTCTCTCTCAGTCAAACGTACACCTATCAGTCAGTGTCAAGAACTCTTGAAGACCGATCCCTATTGCTGTTATCCTCCAGACAAAATTCCATCTTCGCGAGACCCATAGTTTTTTCCTGAATTTCTGGCATATGATTGTACTTGAAACAGGTTGTAATCTCAATTGGGGGGGTCCAGATTTTTTTCCTTCTGATTGAGTTGATGAACGGTGGTGGGCTCAAGACTGCAAAGGGACTTGTAATTAACCTCTTCTCCTGTGGTCCGAGTGGAGAACCTAGAGCTAGCATGGCTGCCTTTTCGATCTCTGAATCTGTATTCCGAAACTTAAAGCTCAGTTTAGGCAGGAGGCTCTTCATTGATGCTTTACCCCTGTTTGATGAGGAGGGAAGTGGGGATCCATTAAACCTGATATGACCGGGACTCGGTAATGGTGAAAAGTTCACTTTTTTAGGAGTTGGTGACGGAGGCACGTTTATCCTCACAAACTCGTCTATGGAGCCATCAGCTGTTGTTTTGGGTATATCCACAGTTAAAATTTGATTCCTTTGGTGCTGACTACTTGTTGATTCCTCAACTATTTCACTTGATTCTCTAACCTTTTGGATACCAGCAGTAGGGGGTGGATGAATGGCGGTTGTGGCGGCGGGGAAGGAGGGTGGTAAGGAGGCCACCAGCCCCTGAACGTTGTCATGGTGTTTGGTCAAAGAATTCTCTTGAGAATTTTCCATAAATGGACGTAAAAGGGAGTACGAGAGAGTCTTCCTCTCCTCCCTTTGTCGATTTCTCCCTCCTGTTCTCCTTCATCTCCCTCTCTCCATACCTCAAGTAATTATAGCTGATTTTTTTCTATTTTTCTGCCATTTTACCTGATATTTCCTTGGCTAAAAACAATCAATTCTTCCCCCTTCTTTTTTTTGGGTCCTTTTCTGAAACAACGAGGAAGTGAAAGGTTGATATTTCATCTCCACTGTCTATATGAATTTGTAGAATACAGATATGGTATTTTCCTTCCCCTTTCTTTCCATGATTAATGTCTTTGTTTCATTTCAGTTTTATCATTAAATTTTTATTTTTAGTTTCAACAAAAAACTTTTAATATGGTCGGAGATGGTGAATAATTGATTATTAGCTGGCTTGTAGAGTATTTATTTACTTTATTTTTTGTACCTACTTGGTGTTTTATTGTTCCATTTTTCTTTCCGTTTTTGCCTTTCTTGGATTTCTTCTACAACAGGAAGGAAAATGGCCACCCGTGAAAGACAACTGCTGAGGGGAAAATCGTAAGCTTTGTTTTATAATTCTAATTTAATTTTTACTTTAAATTGCTCTTTTCAGAGCTCAAATGATGGTATACTTTTCTTTGGCCTTTGCTCTTTTCAAACCTCATTCGAGTTTTCTTTTCAGTCATTTTTTTTGGTGTCTTTCATGCAGGTGTTTTGTTGATCTCCTGATCAGAAAAGCAATCCATATCGTAACCAAATAGATTTCTTCATCTTCAGAATGTCTTTATATTTGCTCCAGTTCTTCCGATTCCTTTTTCTTCATTGGGTTTTCAACATTTGAAGAATTAATAAATTTCTTCTCTGAGAATCAGGAACTTCCAGGTCACATTGGTCATTGGCCATGAGTTACAAAAGATCGTGTGATGCTATTCTTTTGATTGCTTTGTGTTGAAATTTTTTGTTTTAGTACATAAATTGTCTCTTGGTAAAACCTCTTGAATATTCGTTTTATGATCCTTAAGTGGATATTAAACTGAATATCTTCAGCAATATATTTTTTTGTTACAATGGCAATCTAAATGGTTTTCCTATTTTCTAGGTGGTTAAAGGTTTGTCCAAGACGAGGATTCTCAAATATTACATTCTAAGCACCTGCTTGAAATAATGAGTAAGTTACTGTTTTAATAAAACACCTTAAATTTTCTATTCCTTGATCAAAAAAAGAATTAAATTGCTACATAATTGTAGTTTTGCCTCTTGAATCATAGACTACGATGTTTAATAGCTTGGAAATTCTTATTAGGAAAATCAGTTTTGGTTGACTTAAGTCTATATTTACAAAACATGATGTTCTCTTAGATTTGTAACATTTCAGTAAGATTAAGTCTGGAAAACTGAACCTTATGATAGTTTTTTTACTTGTAAAAATGAACTTAATTGAGGTAAGCCTAAACAAAAAATTTTGTGAGAAACATGAAGATGGTATTCCAATTGATAGGTTCAAATAGGTGAATGTGATGCAGACCTTCAATTTATGTTGAAGTTTTTTATGCAGGAGAGAACTTAAAGGAAGGGCATGTTACTTTTGAAGAAAATTTGGTAGAACTCCTAATTTGTCTTAACTGGATGGATAATTTGTACTAAATATAACACATTTAGATGTTCAAATATGAGGACAAGATGCCTCTACTTTGAGATACATGGCATACAATTCTTCCTAGAATTTGAGAATACAATCACTTCTTTGACACATCCAACTATTTTTGGAGAGGTGTTCTGGAGTCATCTTACCTCAAATTTTTTATGAGAAAAATTGACAGAAAGACCTCAGAGCCATCTCTTTCCTATCTTTTGCATAAAAAAAAAAATCTCTCCCATCTCCTTTCTGTGCAAAAAGTTATTGTTTTCCTCTTTGCTGGCGAGTTAAAGTACTGGGAGTTACAAAACTAGAGGCCTTCCCTCAAATTCCTGTGTCTGCAATAGAGGAGTTTGGCACAATGCTGACAAGACTAATCAATTCCCATCAGATAATTTTCCATATCTCAATCCCCTCTAACTCAAAGCTTCTATTTGAAAAGTCCCTTCTGTTCTTATCTTTCTTTCTTTCTCTCTGAAAACTGCTAGCTTCTCCACTCTTGTTCTATGTGTACTTTTTTCTCTTGATTAAATTTTATTTTATTCTCTAATAAGTTTTATATGTTTGCTACGGGTTGAGGAATAGGGATTTGATACCAAGTATGAATGATTGGAAATTCTTTGATCAAGTAAATACATTTATGATCTCTGTTTTTCTATTTTTTCTTTCTTTTTACCAGAAGTCAACTATAATCTTCTCCTATCTTTACTCCTCTTTCATAGATGTTCAAGAAATGGACTATGGAGAGGATAGTCTGCCTCTTATTGAAGTATTTCTTAAAATTCCAGTGTAAGTCATGATTATGAGATTGTCAGGTCTTTTTAAGCAACTCCATTCAGTAATTATCCTTACTTAAGATCCAATATTTTATGCTTTCACTTTTTTGCATTGAAACTTGTGATTATTTCCTTAGATGAAATGGTTTAATTTCTTTCCTCTTTTTTCATGTTCATAGAAATTTTTGTTTTCCAGTTGATATTGCCAATAACTCTTTATAAGTCAAAAATTCAAAGTAAGAGGGTGTGGGTTGACTGTTTCTGTTAAACTCTCTTAGTTAGTTGGTAATGATTTTGTCATTTTTTTTCTTTTTGCAGCCAACTAATGCACTTTTTGGACAACGTTGTATAGATCAAGTGAGTGGAATTCCATCTTGGGGCCTTTTTTTCCTTGGATTTGGATCAAAATTGTTTGATTAACGACTAGAATGTCATGTTTGCTTTGCTAAGCATGCTATCTACGCAATTTATTCAATGCTTGGGGTTAAATTCTAGGCTGTTAATGGTTGAAGTAGTTAAATTTCAAACCATGTAAGGTTTGTGAACCATTAAATGAAAATATTGAATTCTTGAAAGAGCTGTGAAATCAAAAGGGTCATGCTCAGAAAGGAGAGGAAAACTTGTGATATTAATCTACATATCATCTTGCTTCATGTAACTATAGACTTTTATTTTAATGTAAAAAAAGCAAGGAAAAAATGGTTGGTTGTATATTTCATTTGCAACTGTTAATAATGTTGAAGAATATGGAGAATAAGTTCAATAATTTTCTCTGAATCATTCTCATGTTATTACCATGAGGTTGTTTTAATTATATTCTTCATCTGGCCGACGCTTGTTTACACTAAATTTTTGTTAGATAAAGGAAGAACGAAATAAGGAGGCTACTTTTCTTATTTCAGCCTTCAAGGTATGTGCAGGAGTTATCGTTTCAGTGTTTTTGTTCTCTCTTTGCTTTCTTTTTTTTTTTTCAAATTTATTTAGCAGTTTATTCTTTGCACAACTATTGATGGATTTTGGGTAAGTCATTGGAGGCTGTTTATGGATTTCAAGGTGAAGAAGTGGATAAAGAATCTAAACTGACACCTTATGGTGAAAAAATTAGTCGAGGTATGTGGTGATGGAAATATCACAATTAGCCTGGCACTATTGTCTTTGAGCTACTGGAAGATGATCAATGTGGTTCTTTACAAACTAAAATTGAAGGATATAGCAGTCCAGATGCCAAGTCAAACCCTTTACAAGACCCTCGAACTAGCTTTGGATTCGGAACGCAAGTCATGGTTTTCTTTTGAATTGATGTAGTTCAGAATTTGAGTTAAATAGGTACTTATTTACCTTATGCATCTTATGCTATCCTCGGTTATTTGTTACTTTTTCTAAAGAAACTTAACTGAAACAAATTCCCCAATTTATTCGACCAAAAAAATTTTTGCTTTTGTTTTTAATTGGACCTATAATACAAATTTCCCAATTTAATTGAGATCTAAGAATTGTTACATTGCAGCCTTGTTTCTTTTTCAAAAAGGCATATTTGTGGAAGCCTTATGGAATTGTATTAATAATTTATGCATTAAAAGCTTTCAGTTGATCTTGACTTTACTGATTGGTCCAAGATTGCATGTAATGATCTTATGTCTTTTCTTAATGAAGATGATGTAATCCATGGGAACTTCAACTTGCTATTTCATGGATAGTTTAAATAGTTCATATCAAGTTGGTCAGTGGTTTACATTTTTTCTTGGTTTTAGGTATTCCTGTTAACTTGATTTTTTCTTGAATTCCAAGTCATCCTGCCCTCTCATTGCCTTTCTATTAAATGATGGAAACCACATGGATGACTTGATTGTGCTTGTTTCCAAATAATGTATAGGTATTACTGTCATTCTTGATGAATAGCAAGTCTTTGCCTAAATTCAACATCTTTTGGTTGAGGACTGCATGTGCTGAACCCTCTTAGGATCATTTGCTTTCATCCCTCAAATTTCTAAATCTCTTTGCATTTCCTTCACTCGTTGTTTTTTGAATAATCACTTGTTGCTATCAATCATATAGTACTTACTGAATTTGCTTTTCAAATTTTTGGAGGAAAAGTGAGAAATTTGATGAACTGCTTGAGTTGGCTGGCTACTATAAGACTTTTCTCATGAATTCTTATCAAGAAGCAAGGTATGGTTTTCCAACCACAAACAGTGTGGATATGAACTATTTTACTATTTGCTATTATTTATCTTTCCCCGGTATAGTGATCAATAATTGTGAGATTGATTGGCCTTTTTACTTAATCAATAATTTCTTTTTCGTATTTGTTTCCCATGGAAATGTTACTTCTTTCATTTTTATTTCTCAAATTTCAATATTTTTGGCTTCAAAACTTATTACATATTTCGTTCCTATTTTTACATGGTATCATTCTTAATTTTGTCTAATGTGTAAAGTTTTGGTTTCAACATACAAGAGCTTAAGTTACACTTGATTTTGACACATACAAGGCCATGGCAATAAAGAACGTTATAACCATTGCATATGCTTATCAAGCATAGCTACCAGCAAATTGCATATTTTATAGCAGAGAAAGCAGTTTTTATTTGCTTCCTGCTGGGCCAATTCTAACTCAATTTATACTGTAATATTATATTCCTTTTAGTTCCATCAGAGTAGTTCATTTATTACTCTGTCCAGATTATATCCTTAATGATACATAAAATTCATATGGCTTAAACATAAAATTGCATTACCTCTTGTGCAGGATAAAAACATGGCAATAGGAGATTATTCAAATAAGCTCTGGGAAGAGGAAGACAAATAAACTCTTGAACGATATTCGGCATTGTAAAGAGATTGAGAAATGCAAGCTTGAATCATAGTTAGTAAACACTGGTATCCAATTATGCATACAACTTGTAATAATTTATAGAAGTTTTTTTTTAACTGTATTCTTTATTAATATACTTGGCCTTGACTCAACATATTCGGCCAATATAGTTTTTTAACTTGTTTTAGTCATTGCTCCTAATTATGGATTATCTATTTTATTTTTAAAAAAAATTATTACAATGGGCTTTACGCTGGGCATACTACCTATTAATTTCACACCGCGCATTCGCGCGGTGATCCCCTCCTAGTATATAGCAAAGGCCACAGCAGATGATGGGATGTGCGCATGAATCATGCGTCTGTCTGTCATTCAATCATCCATCCATTTTCACCCAAAAAAAAATCATCCATCCATCGTAGTAGTAACAATAAACATATGTTACTTACTTACTACAGATACTACTAAACATTGTTATTAGTTTTACTACTAAACCTAGAAGGACATATCTATCAGAGAGATGTAATTGATACTTACTTACTACAACCTGCAATGAAGTGGTTACTTAAAAAGTACTCAGATCCGTTTTCACTGCTTGAAAACTTTTAAACTACTCCCCCCCACGCCGACACAGGGGAAAAAAAAAAAGAAGGGAAAATGGTACTGCAGTAGCAATCATTTTGCATTTTGGTGGGTAGTGGAGGGAAGAAGGTCAAAGAAAGGATATATGTAATGTAATGTGGCCAAAAACGGACGATCCCAAGGCAAGATGATGAATTCTGTCCTCCATCCCTCCCTCCGCATCTGTATTAGACCCTATACACTGTATACTTTTGTCCTCTCTCTCTCTCTCTCTCTCTTACTGCTACTATACTTTTGTCATAGTCTTCGTCCTGCACTCTCTCTCATTAGTCACTACAACTCCTAAAAGTCTAAAATAAATACTGCTAATTAAAACTCTGCTCCTAAATAAATACTTCTGGGCTTTACACAGAAAAAAAAAGGAAACATAAAAAAATACTACTACTGCGTACTAGTAGTACTTTGGTCAAAAAAAAAAAAATACAATACCAGTACTACTGTATACAAGAGAAGAAAGAAAAGTTGGGGTCTGTTTTGTTGGTCTTCTTTTTTTCTTCTTCTTCTTCCTCTTCTTCCCCTCCTCCGTCTTCTTTGATTTCTCAGCTCTCGCCTCTTCTCTTCCTTCAAATGGACACCATTTAAGCCCTCTCTTCATCCTTCAAGGTACGATTTTTTTTTTAATACCAAATTGTATATTTATTTACATATATCTCCTTTTCTTAGAGGTTTTTTTTTTGTTTTTACTCCTCGAATTCATCAAAATACTCCCTCCCCCAAAAAAAAAAAAAAAAAAACGAAGCCCCCCTTAATTGATTAGATAGCAATAGCTACAAGCTTTTCTTTTCTTCCTTTGTTATTTTCAGGACCCAAAATAAATTAAAAACAGTAAGATAACCCAACAAAAAAAATTTTAAAAAAAAACAAGAAGAAGGACAAAAACCTCGGCCGAGGAGAGTGTCAGTGGATTTTGCGAGTCCGATCATGGCGGTGGTTGAGAATGCTGGAATCAACGTGGTCGGTTCATCCAATCGTGCTGACTCGAATGGTGCTGCGCAAAATGACGTCGTCGGAGGCGATCATCACCACCACCTCCACCTTCATCATCAGTCCACAATGACCACGCCGCCGGCCGCCAATCACCCCAACCCAAACCCTCCGATGCTCAGGTCAACGAAGCCACCGCCGTCGGCTGCTGCCGATCAAACCTTCATCAACCTCATGGTCCAGCAGCAGCAGCAGATGATTGCTGCCCACCAGACGCCTTCTAGTGCTCCGCCCGCTGCTCCTGCTGCTACCAATCAGAAGCCCCTTCCTAACTCGGGCATTCAGCATCACCATAACATCAACGGCAATGGACTGCCTAACCGGAATCACAGTGACAATAATAACAACGGCAATCAACATCATCATCACCACCAGAACATCAAAGGTGTCGATATGAGGAGGAATGGTGGAGTTGATGACGACGACGACGACGATGGTGGTTCTGATGACGGTGGAGAGGGGTTTAAGAGGGAAATGAGGGATTTGGAGGAGATGCTCTCTAAACTCAATCCCATGGCCGAGGAATTTGTTCCTCCGTCTCTAGCCGCCGTCAATCACCATCACAGGCTGTTGCCCCCAGCTGCAGGGCACTTTGGTTTCAATGCTAACAATTTTTTGATTCACACCAACTCCGGGATTCCCACTGCAAATTCAGCTAGAAGGGTACTTCAACTAATGATTCATTTCCTTTTTCATTTTTATACTTGTCAGCAACATGTAGGGTTTCTAAGCAAAGGGGTGCCAAAAAATTCAAAATTTTTCTGAAACATATTGCAGCACCGTGGCTCAGATTGTAATAGGTTTGCCCTTGTTCAGGTGGGATGACTCTTGAGGTAAATGATTAGGATTGTTTAGATTAGTTGAGTTGTAAAATTTATGGAAATGTAAGGATACGGCAACTGAACTCTCTTCCACTTGCAGTTTATGCATCAAAATAGGGATGGGATTCCTTTTAAGTTATCATAGCAACTTGGCTGGTGGTCAGTTTGAGTCATGCTGATTGTTTTGGTTATTTATGGCATGCACAGAAGAAGAACAACTATAGTCATGGAAAGCGAAGAATGAACAGCAGAACTAGTATGGCTCAGCGAGAAGATGTAATTAGGCGGACTGTATATGTATCTGACATTGATCATCAGGTTAAATAAAAATTCTGCAGTACTTTATCATTGATATTCAGGGTATTCACATGTTCTAATGTTGTGCCTCTTCTCATGTTTCTAGGTTACTGAAGAGCAACTTGCTGCTCTCTTTCTTAGTTGCGGACAGGTTAACCTGTTTCTATATAGCTTGTCATACTTGAGACGTGTTGAATAACATAAAATACTTTATCTGTGTTCATTTGATATTGTCCATTATTAACTTCTTGTTGTGTTTGATCGTAAAGGTTGTGGATTGTCGAGTCTGCGGTGACCCTAACTCTGTACTTCGTTTTGCCTTCGTTGAGTTTACTGATGAGGGTATGTTGATTACCTGTTCTTGCAATCGAGCGCTTGTCAGGTTTCATACATCACAACTGCTTACATTATTGTTTCCACTGTTTCTGGCAGAAGGTGCAAGGAATGCTTTAAGTCTGGCAGGCACCATGCTTGGATTTTATCCTGTTAGGGTTTTGCCTTCCAAAACTGCAATTGCTCCTGTCAACCCAACATTCTTGCCCAGGGTGAGATTTTTATTCATCTTTGGCTACTTTGTAAAGTGTTGCTTCAAGCTTGCTGTTGTTGAGATGCTGATAAGTGCATATTGGGACATGCTATTGCACTTTTTAATATTGTTCCCTTGTGATTTTTAGTCTGAAGATGAAAGGGAGATGTGTGCAAGAACTATTTATTGTACAAACATAGACAAGAAGGTACTTTGGAAATTATAATCCATTCTTCTTGTGGTTTACAAGCATTTATATTAAGGATATGGTATTGGTATTCTGGTTTTTAATGCAGGTTACTCAAGCAGATGTTAAACTGTTCTTTGAGTCCATATGTGGAGAGGTTAGTGCCTGCCCTTTTGGTTTATCTGGAAGCGTCATTGCTTCTTCAAGTTCCTGCCTTTAACCCTTGGACTCCCATCTCTGCCACAGGTTCATCGTCTAAGGTTGCTGGGTGACTATCATCACTCAACTCGTATAGCTTTTGTTGAGTTTGTGATGGTAACCGCCATTTTCTTACTCATTTTGCTTTTAGTCGTTCTCCTCCACTGTGAACTCATTTTCTCTTCTATCTTGCAACATGAATTCAGTTTCTCTTGCCTCTGCCTTATTTTCTTTTCACTTTCTGTGATTGATTCTCTTTTTTAATTTGTGAAATTTATGCTCGGTTAAGTTTCAATTTTGATTCCCTTATGTGAAGCTTGCTTTTTTTTTTGGGTGCGTGTCACTGAGGCTTGGATTTTGGGACAACTGTGCGGATAGAAATGATTCTCCTTTTGCTGGTTTTATGCCATCCTCTCTAAAAGTTGAAGCTGGATTATTCTAATTATGGTTTCACTATGTGCTATATTGATTTTTCTCCGGTGCCGTTGTGGTACAGCAAGCTGGCTTTCTCAGTGATGCGCATAAATGCTAGCTTGTAAGCTTGTGGCTAACATGAGTGTGACTTTAAAAAGCTGGTAATTTGGCTGTAGAAGTTGATGTTGGACTGGAAATGTCTAAGATTCTTCATGTCAATCTGCTTTAGGATCTGCTTGTCCACTTGTCCATAATAATAAAACTTCCTTCTTGATTGTCTGGCGAACTTTGAGACTGCCTAGATATACATTAGTTGTCTCAGTTAAAGGAAAAGAGGAAAAGAGGTCTATTTTCTTGTTGGCGATTTCTTTCATCATCTCTTGCCTTAATAATATGCGTACAATCAGCTACCTGCCATTGCAGTCTAAAATCAGAAAGTGGTTTCTTTGGAGTGGTCTTCGTGAAGATTGGCCATATGGTTATCTGCTTATTCTGGATTTCATAGGTAGTGGTTTCAGTCACTTCCACTTATAACCCCCATTAAGGCAGTAATCTCTGGATTTTACTCTTTTTCTTTGGATCATGTCAATGCAGGAAGAACCATTAGTTGGTAACAATATACTTAAATTTTTGTGTAGAATATTCAAAATAGGACCATAATTGTTGGTGTATATCTTGTATTTGTTTCTTCATGTTGGAATCGTCACATAAGATTTCAGGATACTGTTCTTTGATGTTGTCATCACATTTTGGAATTCCTCTTTCAACTCACAGGGACTGATCAAATTGAAGTAGTACATTATTACGCATTACTTTCTTTTCATGTCCATCTTAAAGCGTCAAGCTTGGAAGACAATAGTGGACATGCAAGATGCCTGAATTTCTAGTTTAAGGAGACAAATTCAGTGGACAAACCTGATGTGACTTTGCTTGTGTAACTCTTAATTTCTGATTTGGTTTGGCTTAGTAGATAAATATTTGTGTATCCGCACATGTAGCCTGCACACCATTTCTGACTGGAGTTGGATATTTGATTGAGAAGCGTTTCTTTTGGGATCAATAATGGGTTTGACCTTCTCTCTCAAAACACACATAATTCTTTTGATATTTAAGAGAGTGTACATGCAAACTGTACTAATCTCGTGATGATGGTAATTGAGAAATTTAAGCTTCTGAAGTTTCACATTCTATCACTATTTTATTTTGGATTTTCTGAATGAGGGAAAGCTTATTTGAGGCTTAAGAGGAGAGAGAGTTTTTGGGGAATAATGAAAACATTGTTCTAGGGACGAAAAGATAACTTTCTTTGAATCCAGTCATGAGGTTGCTTGTAATGCATATTTAAAGATGACATCAAGATCAATTTTGATGCCCAGCCCCCAAGAACTTGTCAAGAGAACTATATTAGTAACTACGTGTTCAGATTTTTCTTAGTTGATAAGCTGAGACATCAGAACAACTTGATCAAGTCTTGTCATCTTGGAAACCTTGAGTTGTGTGGACTGCTAAGCTGGATGTTAATGTTGTTTGGAACCTTGCTTACCTTAGTTAGCCAGTGGTGGTGATGCTGCTTGTGTTTCCTGCGAAGAGTCAGGAGTATGAACTGTGTTAGTCCACATTCTTTGTAAGGGAGGCTGGATGCTGAATTGAAACATCTTGGGCTTTTTAAGAAATCAGTGTTGGATAGTGTATTATTGGCAGCTTGGTGATTTAATCCATTATAACCTTGAACTATATTATCTTCTGATTGACTCAAGTGGATGGAAAGATTCATTTGGATATGCATATCATCAATCGAGGCCATTCTAGTTTCCTAATAGTACTTTTTATGATTGCCTAGTTTGTGAGATTGCTGTGGTTATGTTACATTTTAATCCCTCATATTAATTAATAGTTTGTGAATAACTTCTTTGCCTAGGATTTTGGCTTTTAAGCCTTTGCCCTTGTATAGTTCATCTAAGGAAGTATATCTTTCTTGTCTCAGTAGCTACTATTGCTCATATTTGGCCACCATCAAAGAATAGTTATGTAGTTGCAGAGGCTTCAGTACCTTGCAAAATTTTCAAGGTTTTTGCTGTATTTGAGTTACCTTTTCCTTGCCCAATTTCTGTGTGACCACCTTTCTGCTAGGTAGTTGACAAAACAAGTCTTTTGTGAACATCTATGGAATCATACTACCATCTTCCATGACCAGTTAGTGATCTATTGTGGGGTGAAACGTGGACTTTCTGTCTTAGTTAAGACAGCATGTTCTCAATTTGTGGAAAACTTTTATGTCCTTTGGAATGGGGAGTGATGCCTTTCCTGAATATTTATGGAATTCTCTTCGTTTGCAGGCTGAGAGCGCAATTGCAGCTCTGAACTGCAGTGGCGCAGTCTTGGGTTCACTTCCGATAAGGTTGTTATCATGAGGCTTTCTGATTCTGAATTTGCTTTCCATCTTTTTGTCCTTTGTGTCTTTCTGAACTTTCCCTATTGTTGTTATCCATGCAGGGTAAGCCCGTCAAAGACTCCTGTTCGACCGCGTGCTCCTCGCCCACCTATGCACTGAAGTCCTTGGCACTTGCTTTATGCTGATCTTCTGCTGATGAATATATATATATATATATATATCTCCATATCTATATATATGCATACATAGATACAAACACATTTTAAGGTACTTTGTCACGTTTACGTTTATTAGTTTTGTTCATTGCATATGAGCTGGGTACCTCCCAGCCTCCGGGGGAAGGTATTGATCGTTGTCTGCTTTTAGCTTGTAGAGTTGGACGGGGTTGAATGGTGAAGTTGGTTTAATTATCATGTTACGTCTGTGGCCAGTGCAAAACTCTTTGATGTTTCTAACTCAAAGATCCATGATTTAATCTTACAAGCTTCTTTCATTGTTTATCAATGGCCAGCCTCTCGTTTGTGGTCTTTATGTTGTCTCCTCAAAGTTTGATGGTTAACGAGAGAGGTGAATATTGGGATCACTTCAATCACAAAAGAAGTCTCGTTTCTTTGGCCAGAAACCTGTTATGGCGTGGCTGGTTTTGGACGACTTAAATGGACAGGACAGGTGTACTTCATGGTTGTTGTGAGCTAACAAAACGTGACACATAAATAATAGCCCTGCCGCATCCCTCGGAAATGGGCTTGCTGTCGGTACCGGGCCCAATTCTTTATGGAGTCAGAATTCCATCGATGACCCTCGGGCTATTTTTCCCGTTATTTTTATATTTTGTATTTCTTTCTTTTTCTTATATTTCAATCACGATATAAATAACTTTTTTGTCTCACAAATGTGTAGTATTTTAATAAGTTTTACGGAAATTTTATTCTTAAAAGAATCCAAAAATAATAATAATGCCACAAAATATCGAAGGCTGAAATAGTTTTGCCTCATTGAATCTGCTGCGGCAGGAGGTGGGCTACAATGGACATGTGTTATTGGGTGATATGTATGTTTTTTAACTGGCATAAGGAGGAACTAGAAGAGAGGGAGCCCAATAGTGTCATAGTAACGGTGGATTGAAACACGGGCCTTTAATTGCACGGAGCCGGATTTCTCAATTAGTTGATGAACTATTTTTTAATGATTAAACGCAATTTCTCACGAAAGGAGATTGACATCCTACAGCTGATTCTCTCTTTTTATTTTTTGGCTTGAGGATCCCAATGGGAAAATCTTTTGGGGTAAAACCTCTTTAAGTTTATCTTTGAACACCTATTGTATTGAATAAGAAACTAAGACAGGCTATGAGTGAGGGGTGAACTTTCAAATCAGATAAGTGCACTGTTATACTCCTTTAACGGGAGAATTCTAAGAAACTCTCCCTCGCAGGTCATTAAACCAAAGACCAATGGTTGGACTTAGCCAAGTTGGAGTATTAGCACTTTGTGATAAATAAATAACACTTGGAGTGAGGTCAGGCTTCTCTTCTTGTAAACTTTTTTCAAGTAAATAAATAAATAAAAAGAAAAAATGCATTTCTTCATAATATTGGTTGCAATTGGGCAAACTACAATGAGGCAAACAGTCGGGTGAGATGGCCAGTTACAATATCGTATCTTTTTTATCTTTGATTCAGTTCATATGATATTGACTCTTATTTCATTTGGTGCATTTTATGGAAAAGTTTTTAGAAATATAAAAGTATAACATGTTTTGAAATGTAATACATGTGAAATAAAAAATGATTTTAAAATGTTTAAATGCAAAGTTTCAAAAAATTAGGAATTAATTGACCATAATTGAGACTAGGAGAAAAAAAAAAACGAAAATATGACTGTCTCCAAATAACATGCTACAAATTGAATTTTATTCTCAAGTATAAAGAAAAGGCTGTTCAAAATGTCCCTTGTATTTTGCCAAATGAATTTTGTTCAAACCCGAGAACGACGAGGAGTCCACGCCACGCGCTCAAGGCCCAGCTTAGAAGTACTATAAGATTGACCTCGCTTGCATTAACTTATTCTTTATTAATTAATAAACTAGTATTGCAACCCGTGCAATGCACGGATTAACGTTTACTATGATAATAATAGTAAATAAATTATTTATATTAATTACAAGAAAAAAGATTAAAAAAATCAAAAGAGTACTATTTTAGCATCTAATTTATATTATATTTATGTATCTTATCTAAAACTTTAAAGTATACTAAAAAATATGAACAAAGTCACAAAATATCTAAAACATACTAAAAGCACACCAAACATAAAATGTTACTCCTCCCTACCATGTTCTCTTTTTTTACGCCACTTCTCATTAACTTTTCCATATTTTTCATTACCCTCTTCCTCATCTTTTTAACCCAAACTTTTCATATCCCTCCAACTCTTCTCTCTCCTACAAACTCTACCTTTATTTCCTTCTACCTTGCTTCTATCAAATTATGTAATCTCTTACCGAATTTTGCACCCTATTTACCTTATATCCTATTACTCTCCATATATAGTTGTAAACAATGACCAATTTTTCAACTTGCTCTTCAACAAATGAGTATGGGTGTACAATTTTATTAACTTTAAATAGGTAACCCAATTAAACTCATTAATTAGTGGCTATTAAATAGATAGATTAGGACTACCTATTTGGACCTAATTAAATTAGACTTAAATTCAAATTCATTAGTAACAAATTCAATAATTATATTCTACTTTTTGCAAAGGCATACTTAACATTCTTTTCATGTTTTTTAATTTTTGTTAAATTTTATCCTACTTCATCCCTCACTTCTTTCAAAGTTTTAATTAACTCATTGAGTATAAATTGATTTATTGCATTCATACCTAAATTATTTTGAGATTTTTGTAGAGTGACAAAATTAAAACTCCTTATGATCACCACTATGGATTTATCTGTGTAATTTTTTAGGTAAAAATTTATTTATTAATGCAATGTGTTCTTATTTTTGTTGATTACAATAATATATTATTTTGTTGCTCAAATAATATCGGAGAATAAATAAATAAAATTTTGCAGTGGATTGTAAATGGGTAAGATAACCAAAATCACATAAAATTATGTTCATTTAACCCACATAAATCATCCATTTTTATAGTTTCATCCCAACTCACAACTATAGCTTCCTTGACTTTACCCTCCCAAATCCTATACTTCTATCTTTATACTCCTTTTACTACTTAGGATTCATTACCCTATTTTTACCCTTCCCGGCCCTATACTTCAATCTTTCTATTTCTTTTATCATTTAGAATTCATTATCTCACTTTTCAAATTTTTTTTTCAAATAAACAGTTAGAATTATAGTTATGAAGGAAAAATAATTAGGCATAACTTTGGTGAAATACTACTATTTTTTGTGATGATCACCCAAGATAATCGTTTAAACAAATATTTGTTTTAAAATTTTTGATAAACACTCCAAAAACAAACATCTAAATGCCCTTTTTATTAATTTATAATTCATATCAAAATTTTGTTTTATGTGCACTTTCTGATGTACGTGTTATATGTGAAATTATCCAGATGAAATTTTGCGCATGTAAAAAATTATCTAGGTGACGTTGTATGTCAGAATGTTTATTTCATTGGTTGGAATCATCATCTAATAAGATAAGTTTAAAGCTAAAAAAATTAATTTAGTTGCAGAAGGTAAAATGGTTAAAGAATGGCTATAATTGGATATGTTATCTGAATGTTTGACAAATCTATGTATATACTTGGAAGGACAGTGCTAAAAATGTTACTATATAAATTATTAAAAAATGAGACTAATCATATTATTCCTCAGATTTGACAAATCAATATTGTTTATCATGGAATAAAATGGGCCAAAGTGATAAAGTTGTAATGGGGGTGAATGATTTTAACATGAAACTAATCAAATGTCCAAAATTATTTTCTTTACTTATGGAAGAAAAAAGGATATAAGTTTGAAAACAAACTATAAATGATTTATTAAGCAATCATTTTAAGTGGGAAAGAAAGTTTTAAATTTTAAATTTGAATTGTTATAGGATTAGTTGTAAATCACACTATTTCAAAATTTTTAATTGAATTTATGTATTAAAATAAATAAAAAATTTAGAAAAAAATATGGAAGATTTGGAAGACATCAGGACGCCTTCATTAAAACCTCTCTTGCAATAATATATAGATTTGCCGCATCAGCCCCTCGAGAAATCTTGGGTCTTTTTGCCCGTGCGAGTGGAGAGGAGGCTCTGAACTTAAAACTGGAGCGTCCAAGCTAGCTGGAGGAAGAAGAAGACAAGCCCTGCTGGCTGGCTGCTCAAATCTGAGACCTATGCCATGTTGAGTTCTCTTTCTACCTCCTCCTGGGTTGTCGTATGCAGGCAACCCCTGAAAAAGATCTCAATTTCTGCGGTGTCCACGAGTTGGAGGCCATTTTATATCAGGTTTCTTTCAAACTATTTTCTTAGTTATTTCTCTCACTGCCTTGTGAAACACTATGACTTCTTTTGTTTCGGGAAGCTGGGCCTTGGATTGCGTTTTTCTGGTTCTTAAAATTTTGAGGTTTAAGCATGAAATTCCTGTGCAACCTTTTTCTTGAGTTAAATCGACTGTAGAACGTGTGTACGCTCTGTTGACATATGGGAATTGTTTTGTTTGAGTGCAACGAATATTATGAACATTTTGCTTTATTATCCAAATGCAACTATTTCAGTATTTTGCACTTAAGAGATATCTGTTCCAAGTACTGCAGGCAGGACCTTTGTTCAGGAGATAAAAGTTTTATGTTAAACTTGCAAGGTGGACTTTGTGGATTTTTACCACAACTATGTTTTTTATAGGTTTAATAGGCATGAACCAGTTTATTCAATATTATAAAAATAAAATAAAAGATCGTGTCTAGGTTGGTATTTAGTTTATTATCCACAATAGTTATCGAGTCATCTAATGGTGTAAAATTATAGAATAGTTAATAATACACGTAAACTATAAGACGTAGTTTCTGATATATACAATAAACAATTAATTTGTATTTAGTCAAACGAATAATTAGTTTGCTTGTAATTCATATGGTTAGGCATATAAGTGGAGTTCAATATTAAGCAAATAAGATTTATTTGAAAGGAAATACAAATAGCACCATGTTTTGTTTTATGGTTCCATCATAGAAATGGTGAGGGCAGCTGTAAAAAATTTCATACTTTCGAGGGCAATGGTGGAAGAACCAGATAGAATATTTTGAAATTCCTCCCCCCGGGGGTGGGGGAGAGTGGGGCAATTACAAAAACTCTAAACTTTGTATAGGTTTGTATGGGTTGTTCTATAGCTTTTAAAATATTGAGGTGAAGGCAATATGGCTCCACCCCTGACTGCAAGGTTGAGATATGTCTTTAGCCAGAAAAAAAATGGAAATGACTACATCTGTATGGAGCAATAGAAAAAAAGATTGAGATGTGTCTGTAGTATGTAGCATGTGTGGATACCTTTTATCTTGGTTAATTGGTCCATAACCCACGCATCATGATTTATTACTTCAGGACTCATTCTCGATCTCCTCAGCGAGTTCTTGTTTGCTGGGCAAAATATGGTGAGCTACTGAAACTTTTTACCTCTTTCTACACGACACCACCATCAAATAGGCTAATTCATCCTTGGTTTACTTGCATGAATATGTTAGTTCATCATTGACAGAAGAACATTCTTATATTGGTTTCATTAGCCGCTGAATCTGGAGTAGATGGATCATTCAGTTTGAGGATGGTGCCTCCTAGCCTGTTAGCTGCAGAAAAAGAAGAAGCCAAGGCTGTACTGACACTATTCTTAAAGAAGCAAGGGTTGAGCAGTGCACTGGCTGCTCGAGTAATTAATAAGTCAGATGCTTTTGTTGATCACCTTGTCTCGCAACTTCATTCTGTTCACAAATCTCGCTACCTAGTAGGTTCGATCTTAATGTTGTTATTGCTTCTTTAAAACGAAATTGGTTCAGTTCTCCAGTGCATGGAGAACTGCCTTCAGTCTCCCAAACTAATTTTCCTTGACACTGCAGGACGAGAACTTACAACTCTTGAGATCAGGGATGCTCTTATTCCTTACCTTGAAACCCTCCTTGAGGAATATGGTGGAATCCTGGTGGATGTGGTAGAAAACTTCCCAAACCCACCTGTGAAAGAAAGTATAGAAGCAAATTATCAAAACCCAATTACTGAAGAAAATTTGGATACATTAGTTTCTCCCTCTAATGCCATCCTTGATAGCAAGAAGCTGAAAGCCTTGGCTCGGGTAAGTGAGATTAGCCCAGCGGGAAAGTTTCCTGCACATGTTTGCTATCTAGTTGAGCTTGGAATGGACCTGGAGGCAATTAGGGAGGTAATACGCAAATTCCCGGCTTTTGCCTACTATAGTTTGGACAGAAAAATCAAACCACTGGTTGAGTTCCTTCTTGATCTTGGCATATTGAAATCAGATATTCCAACCATCATTAGCAAAAGGCCTCAACTTTGTGGGATTAGTCTCTCTGAAAATTTAATCCCCACCATGACATTTTTGGAGAACCTAGGGGTGGATAAAAGGCAGTGGGCAAAAGTTATATACCGCTTTCCTGCCCTTCTTACTTACAGCAGGTCAAAACTGAAAGGAACTGTTGATTTTCTTTATGAGGTTGGTCTCTCGGCCGAAAATGTGGGTAAGGTTCTAACTCGTTGCCCAAACATCATAAGTTACAGTGTTGAGGATAAGCTACGGCCTACAGTTGAATACTTCAGCTCATTGGGGATTGATGTTGCGCATCTTCTTCAACGGTCTCCTCAAACATTTGGACTTAGCATAGAAGCTAACTTAAAGCCTTTGACAGAATTCTTTCTGGAAAGGGGTTATAGCATAGAGGATGTGAGAACCATGATTTCTAGATATGGGGCTCTGTATACTTTTAGCGTGGCAGAGAACTTGGTCCCCAAGTGGGAGTTCTTTCTTACTATGGACTATCCCAAGTCAGAGCTGGTTAAGTTCCCTCAGTATTTTGGTTACAGCTTAGAAGTTAGAATAAAACCTCGATACGCAATTGTGAAGGAGCATGGGGTTAGGTTACTACTGAATCAAGTGTTATCGCTCTCTGGTCCCGAGTTTGATAAGGCTTTGAGGAGAAAAGTGAAGAAGAAGCATAACAACTAGTATTCTCGTTGATTGGAAGGAAGACCTCAAATGGACTGTATATAACATCTTATTGCTAACTTCCACCTTTTATGGTCTTGAAGACAGACTTGCTGCACTATGTACATCATGCATGCTTTAAGAGATGATCGAAATAGCAATAAGCATATGCTTGTCCAGGTTGAATGGTTGAAGCAAGGAAGGAAATAATGCAACAGCTAAGTCTCCTTCCCCCGCCCTATTAACGTCTTGTTACTTTTTTAGGCCTTGAAGGTGCAAGACGTAATTTGGAAATGGGAAAAGTTGTATGTTGTGAAAGGGAAATAACATTTTCACTACTGCATTTTTAATTTTTGAATTGCTGGAGCTGCTATTGTGTGTGCGTCCAAAGTCCCTGTATGCTTAGATATTTGCCTTTTTCGTTTGCTCTTATAAGCTACGGCTGTGTCATTCACGTGTATCTAAGTGCAAAGGAATAACTTTTATTAAAGAGTGCAAGACCACATATAACATCAGTGGGCTATTCTACTGGACGGAATTTAGAACTCAATGTGCGGAGATATTTTTTTTCAGGATTTGATAATAGTCGTTGCATTATTAGAAATGTTGGAATTTATTCCCTTCTGTTCGGTTATAATAGCAATGTTGCACTCAAGTTGCAGCAACCTCAGTTTTTCTCTGTGCTTCCTGAATCAGATAAGTTCATCAGAAAAGATTGTATTCTCTCCTCTGGAGGACTAGGTGCTTTTTCCCCTTAATTTCCTGTGAAAATTTACACTTTTTAAGTATCCACTCTGATGATTGACCTTATAAGGATGCTTATGTGATAAAACTCTGGAACTAAGGTAGCCCAAAATATGTTTCCTGAATGAGCTTCTACTCTGTGCACAAAAGTCCCTGTCGAGGAATTTAGCTCGATTTATTTGGACAAATAGTGAATGTGTTCTTTTTGTTAATCGGACAGTTCTTGATGTCTTCATTATCCAGGAAGGACTTGGATCAAGCGGAGGAGGAGCAAGTTATCGGGGCGATATTATTGTAGATAACAAACCTGCATACTTTTTACTTTTTGTACATGCTAAAAAGTACAGCAGTGTGCATGCCATGGTAGTAGTTACATGCAGATATCCAAAACTTGAACCACCTCCGCTGACTATTATACCTTTCCAGTAGTATATCACTAGTAATAGCACATGATTGGCAACCACGTATAATAAACACGACACCTGAAGCTTTTCATTTGATCTCTACGTCAACGACCTTTCTCTCCACCTGTCTCTTAGGAATGGAAATGTAAAGAACTCCATCCTTGAGTTCTGCTTTAACTTTGTCGGTCTCAGAGTCTTGTGGGAGTTGGAGGCGAGTGTCATATGAACTGTAACTCCGCCGAGTCCATGCATCATCGTCTTTTCGGTCTTCCTTGCTGCGCTCGCCTCTGATAACGAGGATATCATCATCCTCCACGGAGACTTTGACGTCTTCCTTGGAGAGTCCAGGCATGTCAAAGCGCATCTTTATTTCACGTTCATCTTCATGAATGTCCCAGGGGGAGCGAACCTGCCCCCCTGCCGCCCCCTCGTTAATTCCCATTCCGGGGAATGTCATGGCGTCGTCAAATAATCTATCCATCGTGTCCAGCAATTGGCGCATGGTTCTCTTGGGAGATAGCGGATCGAGAAAACCTGTTTAAGTTGTTAACCACAGAAGGCAGGGAATCAAACCAGAAAGGGAAAGAGAGAGAGATTAGTTTCCTTTTCCCCCTTTTAAACTTTTACAGAAGGCCAAGGGTGAAACAGGGAATCATGCGGTAGCAGTAGTACTACTTACCGAAGGGGGAGATGTCAACGGGCGCCAACCTGCGAGGCCTTCTTTGGACGGCGGTGTCCTGATTTTTGGGTTGGCTACTGACATGTTGCACGTCGAGCGCGGCATCTTTATGGTCGCCGTTGGCCTGAACTCTCACAAGAGAGAGTCTGGATGGACTCTTGACTCTAAATGGCGCAGGAGATGGAAAGAACACAGAACCCGAAGGAGCAGTGGCTAGTCTTGAAGAGCAAGCGGCAGGAGCGGCAGCAGCAGGGTTGTTATGGCGTGCCAGGGGAGAAGAAGAACATGCAAGAATCTTGGTAGCCATTAAAAGTTCGCAGTTCAAAAGAAACTGAGAAATGGGAAGTGATAGTGAGCTCTTTTTTAATATCAAGCAATCAAGTTGGACCTTGTTTCTTCTACTTTGGCTGAGGATGAGGGGAAGGTAAACAAATTTTATAGCGGGGAATGAGAAGAATATCGAGGAATCTTGAATACTTGAGAATTCAGAATTGATTAGATGGACATGAAGACTCTGGACTCCCGTGTCCAGCTTCTTTGTCACCTTGTCCACGTAATAAAAATTTTATGAAATCACGTTCCTTCGCGAATAATCGGACGATTAACGTCGAGGGACACCCTCTTTCACCTTTGTCTTGTAATCTCGTCGTAGTCAAACGTATTATCATTATTTCTTTTTCAGGTCCTTTATTCCTTAACCGTTGCTTTAAACTTGTCTAAGCCATTTGTTAAACTTTTCAGCCGATTTTCTTTTGGTACCGCGCGAACCAACGCTTTACGCATCTAAATCCACTAAGTATGTCTGGAGGAGCACTGGAGTCTCTCTCTATTTTTTATACTGTAATATATATCCAAATGTACGGGTGATATGTGTTTTCATTTAGGAATAATTTCAGAAACCTCCCTTGAGGTTTCAAACAATTTCACTTGGCTGCCTTCAAGTTTAATAAATTACAGGTAGAATTTATTCTCTGCTTTTGAGATATTAATATTTTTCAGGTCATAAGATATTTGTAATGGTGGTTTTAGGCTATATTAGCTTGTATTAAAAAGGTATTTGAGTATTGAGATTTAATTTTGGGGTATAAAATTGGCTATCAATGGTATGTGTCTGTGTTTGTGTTTGTATCTTTATTTTTTTGCATGGCAAGCATTGATGTTGTATATGCAATTTGAGATCTTTTAAATAGTTATTTAGATTTGAAACTTATGGTTGGATGGTTGTTAAGAATTAGGTTTGTTGATTTGTGTAAAATGTGGAAGAAAATGATTGAATATACTATGTTTTTCTTTCTTAGTTTTGTGGAAAAGGACAATTTAGGATTTTTGAGAAAAAATCTAGCTTGTTGGACTTACATTATTATATAAATAGTAAAAGTAAGGTAGGTATATGTAATTTTTAAAACTTTAGGGGAGCTCTCTGCAATTATTAAAAACCTTAGGGGAGATTTGTGAAATTATTCCTTTCATTTATTAATAAAAGTTAGGATTAATCAAACAAAAAAGATCTTTTTTTAATAAATGAAGATATTTATCATGCATTTAAATGTGCATAGTAAGAAATGAAGAGAAAATACACGGAAGAGAAACATTCGTGAATATAGCAGTGGTTCAAGGATCAATGCATATATGTAATGATATCCATTAATTCCGAACTAGGCAGAATGGCGGAACGCTATTATCCTTGTTGAGTATCTAATTTAGAATGCAGTGGCCTCATTTCCTTTCTTTCTTTCTTTTTTTTTCTTACTCTTAGGAAAGTCTGGAACTTTCAAGTAGGATAATTTCTCCCTCCTATTTAAACTCTACATTTGTGGCAACTTAGCAAGGGTAGGGGTGATGAAAGTTGACAGGGAGTAGCTCGCGACCAACTTGATTAACAACTTGATTCGAAACTCGTCGTTGAGTACATGAATTTGTTTAGGCTTGAATGAGATTTTGAATCGAGCTTTTGAATTAAGCTACAATTTTATCGAGTCAAGTTCGAATTTCGCCTTAAATGCTCATTCAAATTCTAATTGGAGCTCGAATATCTCAGAAAAATATCGAATTCAAGCTCGAGTACACCCTTAGGCTAATGATAATCAAGTAACAGAACAAGTCAAATCCCGACTATGGACTCATTCAATAATACATCCGTTTATATTTTTTGTCCTCCTACTTGGCCAATCCCTCAAAGTGATCCCCAGCCAACCCGATTTTGCATGAACCTTCAACCAGCACTACTAGTGCAACTTTTGTGTTTGGATTGTATTTTCCGTCATTTTTTATGAAAAAATTACTGTAGCGATTTGATATATGTGAGGGAAAAAGGTGATAGAAAAATGTGATTACGGAAAACGACAATATTTTCCGACGGAAACAAGCAATCCAAGCAAGGCTGGCATTGCAGGTCATTTATTTGGAAAATCCCCAAGAATCGCACTAGCATTGGTCAGCAGAATTTTTCAAGTTTTGTATTTTTCAGAGCCACAAAGGAAAGCGTTCGTTCATGCTGTGATGTTTCTCTCACAGCTTTCAGCAGTATCGAGGAGAACAGGCATTCTTTCTTTCGTGTTTGACGAGTGGGTAACATTACACTGTGAGTGCTTTGCAGTTTGCATGCCACAGCGGGCAGTCGACAATTTTCTGCTTTCGCAGCTGGCCAATTATTAAAGTTGCGATATGCAATTTCCGTTCCTATATACCGGGGACTGCAATTCTTTTCGCTCGCTGGATCTTATTTCCTTCGGAGCCCATAGATTCCCTCCATTGGACCAGTAAACTTCTTCAAATTACAAACTGTGCATGGGGAAGATTGGAGGAACTTCTTGGTTAAACGTGGTGAAAAAGGCTTTCACATCTCCTGCAAAAGACCGACACCAAGATGAGAAGAAGAGCGGCAAAAGAAGGGATCAGGAACATGACCAACAAGAAGAAGAAAAGGTAAACAATATCAGATTAGATCTCATACAAGCTTGACGGAGGTCAAAGTAAATGGTGATTGCAGAGTTAAAATCAAGTGCTTTTCTTCTTTTCTTGTTTCTTCTCAGAAGAGGGGAAAACGAAGATGGATTTTCCAGAAGCCTTGGTCTTGCGAAACAACAATACAGCGTGATGAAACCCAAAAAATGAACTTGGCCTCAAATGCATCAGCCAATATGTCAGGCGCAAATCTGGCAGGGACTTCTGCACCAGAGATGGCCCAGCAACAATGTGCAATTGGTGTGGCTATGGCAACAAAAGTGGCTACTGAAGCAGCAGTTGCGACGGCAGAGGCCGCTGCAGAAATTTTGAGGCTTACTAGGCCTTCCATTTCAGATGGACAGCGGCGCGCAGCTATTTTAATTCAATCAGCCTTCAGAGGGTATTTGGTAATCTACTACTCCCATTTTGCACGTTCTTGGAAGTTCAGAAACTAAAGCAAGAGCTGATGAATATATTCCTGTTTTTAGGCAAGACGGGCACTACGTGCACTTAAAGGGCTTGTAAAGCTGCAAGCCTTAGTAAGAGGCCATAATGTCCGCGAACGAGCAAAGATGACACTCCAATGCATGCAAGCTCTTATCCGCTTGCAAGCTCAAGCGCGTGATCAACGAAAGAGGCTATCATGTGAAGGATATATTTTTCGTAGTGATGCTAACAGCAAATGGGGACCTCTTACCACGGCCAAGAAGGTTAATGTGATTCCTAAGAGATGTCAATAAAATCCTCTCATGCTCCTGTTGCTTTGAGATTTTGATTAGCTCTTTCATAACTCTGCGTGCAGTCCAGGGATGCAAGGGGTTCAGTTGATGGTCAATACCCACCGCCAATGTACATCCATGACCTGTTGCAGGAAACAGAAGAAGTTGCTTCAAAACCTGGAATGCATCTTTCTCGGGCCTTCTCTCGACAGGTTTTGATCTATTTCTGTTTTTTCCTCGACATTTTTTTTCATCTTTTGGTACGACATTCTTCAGCTGAAAGTCTTAAACAATGCATCTTACCTCTCAATACTTTGAAAAAAGAAACCTCTAATGTTGTCACGAATAGATGTGGAAAACTGGCAAAGCTCAAATTTCACTGGACAAAGCAGCATATGAAGAGAACCCCATATTATACGAGTCATTTGACAGGATAAGTAAGCAGCCCAAGGAAATCAGCAGAGCCTCGTGTGATGAAAAAGATTCCGTTAACATTGTTGAAATGGACAGCAGCATCCGACCTTGCACTTATACAGCTCAGAATCTCCCAACAAGACAAGCTTGCAATTACCAGGACTGTCGACACTGGCCATCCTCTTTCACAACTTCATCTCCTCTCCATAGGATGTCCGAGTTGTCCATCCAACCACCTGTTCCTCAATCCCCAGTGAGAATAAAACCTCTCAAAATGCAGTCAGCTAGCCCACGTTGCCAAAGAGAAGAGAGATACAGTCCAGCAGCTCACACTCCAACTTGCTCCAACTTCTCTGTTCCTGCACATAAACCAAAGTACATGGCAGCCACGGCATCAACAAATGCTCGAGCTCGGTCATCAAGTACGCCAAGACAAAGGCCTTCAACCCCTCAGACTGAAAAGAGGGGATCAGCGAAGAAACGACTGCTATTCACAGCTCCAGATCCATACAGCGATGTAGATATTACTCCCAGATGGCATCACTCGTCGAAGAACCCCATATGTACCAACATTGTGACCTGTGTTCTTGAGGATCAGCAGAAGTCATAGATGTGTTCTTGATGCACTGACGAGCTGAGAGACCTCTCCAACTGATGGAAGTAAGGAGATAGCTCAGATCAGCTGATCAAAGCCGCCAAAATAACATGCAGGGAGAAGAGTTCAGACAACTGCAACTTTAGTTGATCAACAAAAGCGCGAGTCATTGATTTTCGAATTGAGAGTGTCAAAGATTTTCTGCAAGTGGTTTGGGGATGCATGTACAACTGAGCACTAAGTAAGTATTAGGCCTGTTAGTGTTAGCACTCATAAACTTCTCGATTCTAGTTACTTGTTTCTTTTAGCTTTAGACTTTAGAGAGTGACATGTGAATTCGTTAAATTCCTAACAAACCAAAGTTGTTAGACGCATTGTTCTCAACCTCATTCCACAATGAGTATTAATCTTCACGGGATGAACCAGCCAAATGATGATTAACCTGATGTCTCGAATTCAGATCCTGAAGAGGTTGAAGTTTCATAGAAGAATTTAGTACAGGCATCCACACTAGTCTCAAGAACGTGTATCAAAGGCTTCTTAAGAAGCAGCAAAAATACAACGTTCATGTCGAATTGAGGAGTCAAATTAACGGCCGACTAAGCTAACATCCCGCTTCCCTCTCTCTGCGTGCGCGTGTGTGTGTCTCTCTCTATATATGTATATGTATAAATATATATATATATATATATATATTTGTTCTGCAGCAAAGTTTGAAGTTTATCCTCCTCAAACTTTTGACCACCAAGTTTCCTCGATAGCAAGCCAGAAGGTTAATAAGTAGAAATTGCGAATTAATTAAACAATCCATATTCAGGTGTGATCTTGGAACCTCGTACATGCCCAAGTCGGAGTGGAAAGCAAGTAGCATGCAACGCTCAAATGTCTTAAAGTTGTACAATGGAAATGCAATCCGGCCACAGGGCAAGTGATTCACAATCAGAATAGTCAAATGGACGAATATGCAAATTGTGTCGTTCGAATTTAATTAATTTAGACTTGCAGCAGTCGATAGAAGTTTTGGTATGGTAGACGACAATCTTTCACTTTCAGTTCTCTTTTTCGTCTTGCCCAGAAAATCATCTATCATTTCCATAAAACAGAATCAGAATAGAAAAATAAACAGATGCTGGAAC